TTTTAAATATTATTTAGATAAATAAAAAAAAATATACATACTTACGTTAAAATTATATGTTACTATATCTGCCACAAATTAAAAAACGTACCACTTCTGGACTTGTAGAAAATCTACGCAATATTAACGATTTATAATTCAACTAACCGCATTTTCGCGTTGATCTCAATTCATCTAATTTATCGAAAACAATAAATAATTTAAATACTGATGTATTAAAAACCGAATCTTAACAGTGATAAACTTTTGACACAAAAATCGAAATATACATTATAATGATTAGTAGTAAAAAGTTGATCATTGTTTAGTGATAATGTCGTTCAAATATGGGGCAAAAGAAATATACCAAGAAGTGGGAGGCTTTAGCCATCCATGAAATAGAAATAAATTCAAAACGAGAAAATTTCTTAATTAGTAGCAAGAAATATTCGAAAATAAAAGAGTATTTATCGAATCGTCCATTTGACAAGAAATAAGTTAGCAGTAATAAATAATTTTCCAAAATCGACCGTAATAAGTTCCGAAAAGAGAATCATCTTCCTTAACAACGACAAATTTAACTGAAAAATAAACAGTACAATTTTCCCAAATAAAGTTTTTCTACTACATTGGAAATCGTAATGTACAGCACACAGCGCAAAAATATCCAGATTAGATAAATATCCATAAAAAAGGAAAAAATATTCGTTTACATCAACAGTGTTTAACGTTTCCAAAACACAACTGTTTGTGTAGGCTGCTTAAGTAACCAATCAATTTATCAGATTAATTTATTTAAATAAAAAAATGTAGTTGCTTACAAATTTTAAGAAGAAACTGTTTATCACAATCCAAAAGTCAAACAAGAAAAAGTGGATGAATGTCAGTTGTTCATATGAACACCAAAGGATAATTTCTAATAACTTCTTCTCTTATTTTAGTTACAGAAGACAAACATGAAAAACATAAGCCTTTGAAGAAATCTAGTAAACGTAAAAGTACAAAAACCGATAAAGACCCAAATGCCCCAAAAAGGCCCTCCAATCCTTTTTTTCAGTTTTGTCAGGAACAGAGGCAAATTCTCATGGAACAAATAAATTCAGAACTTAAACCTGGTGAAGCAGAACCCACTAAGCAGGAATTAACAAGACAATTGGCTTTAAAGTGGAAATCATTATCAGGAAATGATAAAAAAGTGTATGTTGACATGTATGAACGTTCTAAAGAAAAATATGCTGCTGAAATGTCAGAATATATTATGAAAAAATAATNATTTATCAAAATTTCAAAAAGCGGCATTTTTAAACTAAGGGTTGAAAGTGCATCTCGCCAATTTCCAAATAAGAAATTCTTTTCACTGATACCCTATAACAGCTTTAGTACAATTTGGTACTTTGAGCTGGTATAGTAAAGGAGAAATTCATTTATCAAAAAATAAAAGCGACTTTTTAGAATTAGGGGTTGAAAATGCATCCCGATAATTTCTAACTATAAAAATCTTTTCACTGATACCCACAACAAATTTTATACATCAAGGTACTTTCAGCTAATTTAAAAAGGGTGAAATTAATTTATCAAAGGCTAAAAGCGACATTTTTGAACGGGGGGAGATATTAATTAAAAACCGATGTCGCATTTTTCCATTTTATATTTTACTTAACAATTGTTTCGCTCATACTGTGGTTTCTTCAGAAGCTTTACATGAAGCAATTGCTATTTTAAATGTTTAATTAATGTTCGAACGAATTAGGTATTATTTGGCATTTAGGTTCACCTTCGAGTGTAATCAATAAATGTAATTTGTATCTGTATACATATTGGACACACTGTAAACAAATTCGTCTGTAATATTAATGTGAAAATTCATTTTAATTTTCTGTCCACTCACTACAAACTACCTCAGGTTAACGAGGGAAAATTTTTGTTGCTGTTGTCACAAATGAATTTTCACATTAACATTTCATATTAACCAGTATCAATAATTAAAAAAGGCATAAATTAATCTGTTTTTACAGAGACGAACAAATGATGATAGCGAAAGTACAGATCGCATGGGTTAATGTCGTTGAAGGGAAAGTTAGAAATCAATACCGGAGTCTCGCCATTTTTTGGTCTAATGCAATGAGTGACGTCATCGTCACAATTGCATCCGACCGTCGAAATTTCCGCAAACCCACGCGAGTTGTGAGGGTGCGCGAAAACTCGACGGAGGGTTGAAAGCGTCGGGGAAACGGCGTCCGAAGGGTTTCCGCGTCGTGCGTGAGAGTGAACCCGATATCTAATCGGCGTACATCGCACATTCACGTGGCCGACCGTTATTATAATTGTATGAATGTGAATGAAGTGAAGAAAGTGATCTTTGACCCCGATTCGAACTACTGACCTACTTTGTAGTAGAGAAAAAAAATTTTTTTTAAAGTGCCCTATCGGACATGCATAACATGAAAATAATATCGAGAGAGATTACGCCTTTTTAAAGTTTGAACGTGTCGTACTCGTAAGTCGAAAGTTATCTACAAATTAACTATAAATTTTAAAAATTAAAAGTGGTACGAGCTCGTTATCAGCTAAGTATAAATACACATTAAACAATAACTAATAATTGAATCAAATCATATCTAAATGAAATATCTTAAAAAGTATATGCTAATATTAGGAGCAGCTTTAAAAATGTCATGACAATAAACGATAACTAAATTTCAAATATCTATTTAATAATAAATTAAATATTTTTATATCTAACAACCAATCACTGCCAGAATAAAAACAATCCCACAAAAAGCACTGCCAAAAGCGCTTCGTAGTCATTTTAAAATAATAACAACTAATCGTAATATAGATTATCAACATATTTAAATGATGTTCAGCTATTTCACGCTTAAGAAGTCAATTTTAAATAAGAACGAGTGACAGTGATAATGAAATATCAATACGAGTAGCGCGTATGTACCTGTCGTTTTGTGTTTATCGAACCACCGAATGGTTGCCCGTTACCAGGAGGGTGCAGGATTCTGTTTACTATGCTTTCGCATTCCGCATGGCCCCATAGAGTGTCGCCATCTACAACGCAATTTTTAACCGTCCTAGCACACGCACAGTCGGAAGAGTCAGGGATTGAACCTGGACCTATCGCAACAATCACCGGTTCCGTAGTCTCTTTTGGTAGAGACCTCGCGGATCCCATCTACGATACCGATCACACTGACCTGGGAAGCGAGCCTGACGAAAGGGAAAGTAGACAGGAATTGCTACGAGATGTAGGTGGATTTTATTATTTTATCAATAAATTGAATTTATAGCCGGGGGTTCCTGACAGGGTCACAAATAGGGTTGCCACCTTCGCAGGCTTTACATAAAGTATTTCTCGACTAAAAGATTAAAAAAAAAGTACTCAGCAGAAAAATAAACTATTTTATTTTTTGTTTTTAAAATCATATTTTTTGTTACACCTAGCAGCCAGTAACAAATTGCTGTCGCTCTTAAATACATTAATAGCCTCTAAACATGGCAAACAAAGATTTAAGTAAACTAAAAGTTCATTTTTAATTAGTTTTAATGAAGCT